CCTTTCAAGATGGCACAGGCAGCCACCAACTTTCAGACATTTTTATTTTTCAGAAAACCGAGTTTAAACATATGAGCTATGTTGCAGTAGCTGGTTTAGTGGTGTATATTTACATGATGAAAATAGTTGATGGTGACATTGAGCGAACATCACAATTAGGAAGGCTGTGCACTATTGTTACCATAGTGATGATGGGATCGCCACTGGCAACCATGGTAGGTTTGTAATTTGAATATAGCTAATATGTAATTTACTACTGAGATTTAAGTGATTTCCAAGAACAAGATGCATTGTTGGTCGCTCTATTTCTGTTGAAAATGAGTTTTCCTTGCACTTTTTAATGTCTTTTAAAAGGGACATGGTCCACCAGCATCCCCTTCAAACTTTTTCTCATGTTTGAAAATAAAAATACATCGTAATATATTAAGCAAAAACTTACTCTTTATTATCCCTATATACTATATGGAGAACTGTTATTACCTTTTAACCGATGGATGGAAAGAGATTGCGAAATGATATTTGAAGTAACCTCATTTTAATATGAAAAATCTAAAGCATGACCTCATTGAATGCTGGTAGAGCATGTCCCTTTAAAACAATCCTCAGTTTGTGCTTTTTCTTTGCAAAAATGGAAATGGTTTTCCCATTTCTATACAAAAACTGAAACGACTTTTTGTGCGAAGACTACAACTCCCATCATGCTTTTTTGTAAGAAATGGCATCACTTTGCATTGCCTATTCCAATGAACAACATTTTTTAAAACAATTATTTATGTTTATTGTATTTTCCAACTAGTTTTCTTTTTTCATATTTTCCAGGCAGAGGTGATCAGAACCAAGAGCACAGAGACAATGCCTTTTGTATTTGCATTCTTGGTAACAATACAGTCACTGGTTTGGCTTTGCTATGGAATCGCTGTTCATGATCTTAACGTCCAGGTTGGTATACGCAAAATGATTTGCATTATGATGTCACATGCTACAAATACCAGAATGCTTTGCCCACTCATATAATTTATAACAACATGCCTTTCGACGAATCTTTTCTCTGTATTTCTCAAATAATTTGTAGTCATGTGACTGCAAACAAAGGTAGTCTCAACTATCGTTCTGGGCTTCCTGTGGTGACAAAACCCGCACTCCTAAATATTKCTAGAACTTTTTCGGTCAAAAAATAATATGGCTGACTTTTCACTCGATTCACTGTAAGAATTAGAAGTTTTGTGAACGAAATTTCYAAATATGGCAGTAGAATTCCTTATATGGCCAAAGACGTTTTCAGAGAGAATGAGACAGGTGTATAGGGTATTTCTTCTGGTTTTGCCGTTATGAGGCTTGTTGGAGAGACAATGGGTCAATCAAAAATCCATATGTCTCCGGACAAATTGAGAAAGACAGGATAGTACTCTTTGTTAGACATTTGTAGTGTTTTCAGTGACGTGGTTGCGCCAAGCCGTCAGAAAAGAATATCGCGGTGCGTGAATAAACAATAGAGAGGTTTAGCATGACGTTCACGGCAAACAGCAAACGGCAGAAAAGATCACGTGATCTTCTTTTTTGGAGTTTAACATTGCATTTTCAACGCGAGAGCGGGTTACTTTGGGGTTGCCATAATCGTGAAAAGCCGCTCTTTCCAATGACTACGCCGTAATATACTTTCATATATCATTATATGATATATAGGCAGAATATTACATGGTAGCTTGGAGATACGAATTTTATCTTCTCGTGTTGAAAATCTCTCACTCAATTTTCCAAAATAGCTAGCCCGACTTCACACTCTAAGAACGTCTAGTAAAATCAAGATTTATTGTGCAGTTTAGTAATCCTATTTTCTGATTKGAAAGACGTCAAGTAAAGCCATTCTACAAAAATAGAAATATAGATTTGTGCAGAGAAAGAACTCCAATACAACTTGTATCTAGAAAATAACTTTCTGAACGATAAAACATTACAGAAAAATCGTTTTGCTCTTTCGAGGAATCTTCTTTAGTCAGTTCAGTTCTTATATTTTGAAAATTCATTTTGTTTCTTGTTGTTTGCTTTTATTTTCATTGAAAGTTTTGCCGAAAGAGAAAGTTAAATATAACGGCAATGGAAAATTCAAAAGGAGCCTGGGAACGAGTATGAAAATTGTCCACTTATCGAAAACTGAACCCCATCACATGAATGACCACACTATAATTAGTGTTCTTGCCAAGTTTGAGACTATTTAGTTGAATACTCACCGAGTAGGATTTCTTTCAACTTTGTAAAAATAAGAGAGAATGTATGGTTCCATACATTCTTTGTAATTTTTTCGAGTTTTTTTAAAAACGCTTGCAACTCTGTAATTGTAAATGCGAATACGCTCAAACGCAGCAACTTTTAGTATACTCTTTCTTGTCCTNAGACGACATCTCGAAGCTTCCTTCTTCGTTTACGTACAACTCGCTGCTTCAGCTTTTCAACGTCATGAAAACCAAGACTGACGAACACAACCAACAGCAGCTTCCAGAGTGTGTAAGTTGCAACAAACGAAGCGTATTGGTTGGATTTTGTGCTCAATGCGAAGGAATGATTTGTAATGAATGCATCAACCAACACAAAACAATAAAACCATTGATAAAAACCCATCAAGCAACGCTGTGGAGCGAATTCAAGACACAAAATGTCAACAGCTACATCAACAATCAAGCCATTTGCAATGAGAAATTTCACGAGAAATGCCGTCTCGATTACTACTGCATAACGTGCAGGAAGTGTATTTGTCAAAAATGTGGTATGACAACATCACACGGCAGCCATGACAGGGTCACCATCGAGGAGGCAGCTGAAGATGCTAAAAACCTTATCAGAAAAGAAAAGGATCGACTCAATGAGCTGCTTATTGGTTACAAGAAAGAATTAGAACAGTCCAATGAAAATATGACAAGGATTCAAAGAGAGGTTGACACAGCAAAGGCAAAAGTACAAAATGACATACAAGCTATMATGAAGATTCTACAAGACYGCCAAAACGCTTTGATAGMTACCTTGGACGGCCTTCTTGCAGAACAAACAACAGCAAATGAAGACGAGAAAAAGGAGATCAACGACAACATTCAACAAGTCACTGAACTGAAGCATCAGTGTGAAACAATGGAAGAGAAAAACTTAAAAAAATTCATATTGGAAAGCTACGAAAATTTACTAGAAGTTTGTAAAGCTACAGCGCAAATAAAGTCTGTTCTATCGAYCAAACCAGTCAAGAGAAACTTAACCGCACGTTATATTCCAAACCCGGAAGTCATYCCCTTGATGCGAAAATTCAAACTCGGCGAGGTAGTGGAAAGCTTGACAGATCCGTCCCGTTGTTCTATCGAATCTCTAAGTGAGGTCAGATGTGGTTTTATCAATGAATTTGTGATCGTGACAAGAAATTCACAAGRGGATATATRCCATACCWGGRAAGRTATRATTGATGTACWAATCCAAGATGTTGATGGCAAMGATGTTGAGAAAGAAATGATTGAAACTGAAACTGGAAGATTTGTAGTGAAGTACAAAGCAGAGAAACCTTCACTGCACAAAGTTGTGGTGAGTATTGGAGRAAAASAAATASCAAACTCACCACAGAACATTGAGACAATTGATGCTAAAGCAGAATTTAAACCCTTGAAGATAATTGATGTCAAAGATAGAATGTCCAATCCTATTG